ATGCACTGCAGATAAGCTCTATAATTGGTGTTATCGTGAGTCGGAATCACCGTAAGTTTTGTTCTGTGTTCGCCTTAAGCACTGGGTTTCCTCTGAGGCTTGGCGCACTGCTCCCTGTGCTGAGGAGGCAGAGCCTTAAACCTTCACATGTTACCTGGAGCAGTATTTGTGGCAGTTCTTTTCCCTCAGCCGAAGTGTGGACATTGAAGACATGGTACTAACTGTTATAGTTCCTAACTTGAATTTGCCTACTAAGATGAACGTAGAATCTTCTGATTAGCAGTCTGAATACATAACGGCAGCTGCTCATAGTGAAAACAGATGTCCAGGAACATTTACAGTTGAGTTCTTAACTCTCATTTGTTGTTGCAGTAACTGTTGTTGGGCACTTGGCCAGGAAACTGTGACTCCTAAGCAAAGGGAGGAGTTACAGATAAAGTTCACCATTGCCAGAGAAATTCTATTCCACATGGATTTGTGTGGAGCAACAGTGATATCCAATGACAAGTTAAATTAGACACAGAGGTGTTTTCTCCCACACAGTCTCAGAAGATACATGGTGTTGAGGGTCCTGGTTCAGGCTAAACAGTCTCTTTGAAGTTAGGTTAACATCAAACACAGTAAAAATCATATTAGGGATTTTAAGAAGAATCTTGTTATGTGACTTCAGAAACTACCCAGATAGTTTCAGTTTGCAAAACGGAAACCAGTGACAGATGAGGTAATTCTGCTTTGAATTATACTCAAATCCAAACCCAGTAGAATTTGTTGTTTACAGAATTTCAAATATAGTAAGTTGCATGTTTTTCTTACGTCTGAAACTTAGATCCCTATTCTTAAAGTACAGTATTGCTAATGATTAATAAAATCATTCTTAATGATTTTATTTCTTACAGCTAATATCTGTATTTGAATGGAATTTTTTTTTATTTTTGCCTTACTGCTGTGGGATATGACAGTAAATACTGTTAAACATGTTTTTATCGGAGTCTGTTTAGTTTTACAGTGTTCCTACATATCTCCTGTTAAATGCTCAGATGTTGGCTCACAGTGACTGACCTGTGGGGATTCTGCCTTATGGTTGGATTTATGGCTCTGCCTTATGATTGGGTGCTTACTTTAACCCTGAGGTTTTAGATGATAATTACACATTTTAAAGCATGCTTTTGATTTTTACAGATATGTTCATGCTCTTGAACACAGGTGAAATTATTCTACTAGTTACTAATTTAGTTATAGTAAACCAGCATTGGCAGATCTGCAGAAGGGTCTTGGGACTCGTAGAAAATTTGATTTTCCTGAGTACATAAATCTGTTTGTTTTGAAATGTGTGTGTTAGTGACCTCCTCTTTTCATCGCTACCTTGCATTTGGATGTGTTATACTCCATTTAGTTTATAAACTTAGTGGAGAGCGGCCATTAGTCTCAGACTGAGAGAGAAGAGCTGCAGACTGTCCTCATATGTTCTCTGTCGGGTTTAAGTTTTCTCCTGTGCCAAAGGCTTCTCTTTTAGCGTTGGTGTTTATAGTTTTTGTAAAGCTTAGCATATACGTGCAGTAACTGTATTTGGCTTAGTTCTGTATAACACAGCTGTCCCTTTGGTTATTACGGCTTTGCTTATGGAGCAAATTAGATTTTATTCTGTATAACTCCTTCTGTGTTTCATAGTTTAAGTTAGGGAAAGAATAGATGAGAATATATGTGAGGTTTTCACATAAAGATCCTAACAGAAAGGAGGAGGGCATAGGAGTGATTCTTAAGTTTAGGAATTGAGTTTATGAATTAGAGTACTAGTTTTGAATGAAAAGAGAAAGGATATTTGGTGGAAGTTTTTTGTAAAAGGTATTTTCTAATTAGAATGTTTTGTTTTTGTTAATATGTTGTATGCACATGTCCACATGTGTATGTAGGAAGGCATGCCACTGCAGGCACTTGGAGAGGTCAAAGGACAACTGATGGTGTTCCTAAGGTTGAACTCAGCTTGTTACGCTTGGCAGCAAGTGCTTTTACCCATTTGCTAGGTCTTATTTCCTAATTTTTACACCATACAACGTTTTGTAGCTCTGACTATCCCCAAAAGACAATTTCCATGGTATAGATCACAAAATGAGATGTGTGTTACAGCACACATCCAATAAATGGTCGATTGAGTAGGTAATGTGGTTAGTTAAGTAAAAGAGGAATGAGAAATACGACTTAATGGATATTTAGCAGTGATTATTTTGGCAAAACAGGTCTTATTTATTTATTTATTTATTTATTTATTCATTCATTCATTCATTCATTCATTCATTCATTCATTTATTTGTATTCCCAGAGTGTGTTACTCCCAGAGTTAGCAAGGATGCGCTGTTCTTGCTGGGTTTGAAACCACGTGCGCTCTGACAGTCGCCCATGGCTGTGCAGGTGCCGTCTTTTTTTCTGACTGGGAAAGGATGCTTGCTTGAAACTTTAATGTTTCCGCTGCTATGCCAGCTGCATCTAAAACCAGCTAATATCTTTTTTTCTATCAAAATTGAAACCGTTTTAAAAATTATGTGGTTCTGTATCTCTTTCTTAGAGTATATAGCGTGGAAGAAAAATCTTCCTCAACTCATTCCTGCCTGTATTCCCTTAGGATATTTTAGGCATGTCAGCTGTTAAAACTCTTAACAGCCCTTCTGCCTGACTTGAACCTGTTTGAAAAGCTCTAGCAGCCATACTAGCTTGTAACTTTTAGAGTTAGAACCATTATTTTGTGTCTCTCACCTCTGTTGTTTTCTAAGGATTTAGGTAAGTGGGGATTGTCAGTAATGAAGTAGATTTTGTTATTAGTAAAAAGCAGGCTAAAACTTGGGAGGATCACTGTGGTATCTGAAGTTAAATACTTGTGGTTTTTAGGGTTTGTTTGTTTGTTTTTAGGTTTGTAGCTTTGTGATAGAGTGCTTGATGTGGAAGCCCTGTGTTTGCTTTTCTAGCACCTCAAAATAATAAAAACAAGGAAACAAAACAAAAAGGCTTGGGTAGTATCATTTCTCAGCTAGTTCTTTTTTTCTTTAGTGCTGAATGCTGTCAGCATTCTTTTTCTTCCCTTACTGTATGTAAGTCAATATGAAATAAAGAGTGATTTTGTAAAAACTAGGTTGGTTGGTTGGTTTTTTATAGTGGACCTGGCTGACCTGGAACTATGTAGATCAATGTGGCCTCAAACTCAAAGAGATCTGCCTGCCACCCCTCCAGAAAAAAAAAAAAATCTAGATATTTTTAAAGGGAAAGTATAAATCCTTTATGTAACACTTCTTTCAGAAACTGACAGATTTACGGAGCTGACCTGCATGTGGCAGCAGTTACACCCTGAGATGCAAATGATTTCCGTGGTTCTCAGGGAAAATAAACAATAGTTGACATATAAGTCTTCAATGAATTCTTTTAAGCAAATCTTTGAAAACCTGTTCTTTAACCGCTTTAATACAGTTTGTAACACCAAGTTTATGAGTTTGTGAAGAAGTTTTTAAAAATTATGTATGCATGTGTGTGTGTTTGAGACAGGGTCACATGTAGTCTCTAGCCTTGCCTTGAATTCACTCTGCAGTTGAGGGTGAATTTGAACTTCTGCTCATCCTACCTCCACTTGGGATTACAGGTGTATGCTACCATGCCTGATTGAACCTAGGGTGTTGTGTATGCTATGCTTCTCAGACCTTGGAGGTTTTTTGTTTTGTTTTAATTTTAGACAGTCTGTACCGTGTAGCCCAGACTGCCTAAATACGCCTTCACACCAGGCTTACTTCCCCTCTTATTTACTTACTTGGGCTTTTGTTTTATTTTGAGACAGGGTCTGTGTGTATCTCAGGCTGGCCTGGAATGCACGTAGCCAGCCCAAGCTGGCCTATAATTTGTGATCTTCCTGCTTTGGACTTCCTGCTGTGGTTACAGGGGTTAAAGGGATCTTCATCATGTCCAGCCATTTATTTATTTGTTTGTTTGCTTATTACGTATCTTTGTCCAGTCTGGCTTTGAATTCCCGGGATCCGATGCTACTCCTGCCTTAGGCTCTTGATCACTTCAGCACTGGGCTGACCTTTACCACTGGACCAAGCAGTTAGAAGTCTCCTACCCCTTGTTACCTAAATGGAAACAGGCAAATATCAGAAAAACAAAAAACTCAGTTGAAAAATAGGCAAAGGACCTGAATAGACTTTTTCTCAGGAAGACTTATAAATTGCCAACAGATACGTGAAAAAGTATTTAAAATCACAGGTGATCTAATAATTAGGGAGTTCAAATTAACACCATAATTAGATATACAAAAGTTTGGCATAGATTGTTGTATCTCCAGTGTAAATGTCACCAAGCTTCTCAAAGAAATTAAAGTAATATGAACCAGCAGTACCTAAAGAAAATGAGGTCACCCATCTTGTAAAGATGCTCTCTAGTGTTCATTGCATCATTATTCACAATAATCAAGATATAGAAAGACTGTAGTATTTATCCATAGATGCAGGATGACTATAAACTCTATACATAAAGCAGAGGAATATTATTTAGCTTTACAAGGGAGAATATGCCATGTGCAGCTATCTAGATGAACTTAGATGATATTGTACTGAGTGAATACACTAAACACAGGAAAAGCACTGCAAAATATCCTGTGTAAAATTTAAGAACAACGTTAAATACATAGATGTAGGGAGTAAACTAGTGGTTGGGGGTGAGATACACAAGTGCAGGCACTGGGACCCATTGTCTGAGATGTAAGTGCAGTGTGAGCACAGGCAGTGTCTGTTACACCAGGGAGGCAGAGAGGGAGGGAGGGGAACCAGGCGCACGGTGTGTTTAAGTTGCTGGCCCCAGGAGTACTGTATATGTGTAACATCAGGTCGTCAAGCTAAACAGCTTAAATACATACAATAACAAAGTCAGCTGGAAAAATAAAATAGATGGCAGTCTAGAAAAATAGGAAAGTAACTTAATTAAACCTCAATGTTAATCAAGATACGTTTTTTAAACTTTTTCCATAGGGTGTTTGTGAACAGAAGTTTAGCCATGGAAAAAATAAAGTGTTTTGGTTTTGATATGGATTATACCCTTGCTGGTGAGTAATGATTTTTGATTTCTTAAGAATTACTGATCTTAATACAATATAATTGGTCCATGGGCAGTTCAGTAGTCCCTTGTTCATGTAATCATTGATTTGGCTGCAAGAAGCTTGTGTTGGATTATCTTTCCATTGAGATATGTGAACACGGAAGTTACCCAGTGTTCCTGAGCTTGTAGAGATAGTTAGAAAAAGTCCTAACTTACGTTAAAACTCTTGTAATTTTTTTTTATAAAAGTATAGATTGATGAATACATTAATGTGTCTTATTTGGTCATTTTTGGCTCTAATTATTTTAAGCTGTTTTTCAAAAATAGAAAAAAAACCATTTTTTTGAGCAAGTATCACACTGTGCTCCAACCTGACCTGGGATTTGCTCATGCAGGGTAGGCTGGAACTCCTGCAGGCTTGAAACGTGCATGGATCTTTTGCGTTTGCTTCTCAAGTGCTGGAATTATAGGCATGTGTCACAATGCCCAGGTTAAAAATGAATTTTTGGATTTCTCATTCTGCTATAAAGTTAATTATTAAATTTTTAAGTATTTTATTATTATGGGATTGGGGGAGTTGTAAGTGCTTGGCTTGCAGGCATGAGCTACTACACCCAGCAACATTTTTTAACCCTTTTCATGTTAGTTTGATTATAATGCTTAGGAGTCAAACCCAGGGCCTTGATCATGTCAGGCGAATGATTTACTAGTGAGCTGTACCTTTCAGATTCATAACGTTTTACTCTTTTTTTTGTAGATTTGTTTTATTTTTAATTAGTGTGCATGTATGTATCTGTGTGTGGGTATGTGCATATGAATGCAGGTGACCACGAAGGTCAGAAGAGGGCAACAGATCCCCAGAGCTGGAGCTACTAATGGTTGTAAGTGTCCTGACTTGAGTGCTGGAAACTAAATTTAGGTGCTCTGAAAGAGCAGTACACACACTTAACCATTTAGCCATCTCTCTAGCCCACTAATACTTACTTGTAGACCGAGGACGTCTGTTCATTTTCCATCAAATGGTTGCATGTACAGTATACAAAAGACTTCTTAAAAACTAGAGGTATTAGCTTTGCTCATTATTACAGTCTCCTGAAAAGATTAACATTGTACTTTCTTCCCTTCTGTCTCTCATAGATAGTTGAAATAGTCAAGTGTCAGTCTATAGGTTTTTCTCTTCAGAACTTAAAATATTGATAACATTGTCAGGATGTCACTTAACTTAAGAGTAGTAGGTTTGAGAGATCAGGTTGAACACCTATACATGTGTTTATTTAACACATACAGTTGCAGTTACAATACTCAGGTGGAAATTCCAGAAATTCTCTTTTTAAAAACTTGCCTTTAGCTAGCTATAGCAGTATGCACTTATAGCCTCAGCACTTAGGAAGCTAAAGGATTGCTCGAGTCCAGAAGTTTGAGACCATTGTAGGTAGGTATAATGAGATCCTTCTTTAAAAAGGCAATGTTAAATACACAGAACTTTAAAATGTGAAACTTACTTTCCTGAATGGTTGTCATTAAAAGTAACTGAGTAACTTCTTTTGACACTATTAAAATACACAAGAGCAAAACAGAAACAAACGCAATCCCTTTGAAGTTAGAAGGCTTTCATTAGAAAAAATATACTTTGAGGTACAGTGATAAAATAAAGAGGTATGTGTTTGTGTTTCTCTTTAAGGTTTGAGTGTTTGGGCTAAATACTCTTGGTATGTATGTTTGTATGTATTTATTTACTTATTTATTTTTGAGACAGGGTGGGTCTTGCTATCTGGCTTGGCTGGCCTTGAATTTATTATCTTCCCTCAGTTTTCTCAGTGCTGGGATCACAGGTATGAGCTGACATACTTGGTGTGAGTCTATATTCTTTTTGAATCATTTCCTGTACAATTCTGACATCTGGTAAGTTTCCTCAGAGCATTAACATGTTTGTTTATAAGATGAAGCAGCTGTGGCATATTCTAATGTAAAGCACATTACAGACATACCACACAATCCTACAGAACAAGCAGCTGTAGAAAGATCTAATTGCACCTTAAAGGAAATGCTTATAAAACAAAATGGAAGAATGAAGACCCCCAGGGGTGACTAAATAGTGCTCTGCTAACTAAATTTTCTGAATGTTAATGAGAAAGGAACAACAGCAGCCAAAAGACACTGGGTTATAGAGGAAAAAAATGTGGAATTAAATTAGCCTATATACTGTAAGGCTGTTACAGTATATACATCAGAATGGAAGCCAGCAAAACTCTTGTATTGGGGACTCAGATTTGTTTATATTTCCACAGGAAATGAAAAGCTTTTTGGATACCATCAGGACTGATAAAGATTAGAAATGCGCAGGAGAGGTCTCCTGAAACTGTTGGCCACTGATCCAAAAAGTGCTTATTTCATTGAAAATGTTTCTACAATTGTGTGACATTTGGAATTATGGGAACTTTTCACAGTTCCCATAATTATAAGTGCTAGGGCCCCAAGAAGCAGAGTTGGTGGTTGGTGGTCATGGGGCTGGGGGTCAGTTGATATTTGTTAGTAGTCATGTTCAAAGAAGAAAGAAATTAGATTTGCAGATCTTTCTCTCTCCTCTATCATTTTTTTCTCTTCTATCTAGTGATAGTGCGTGAAATGGGGAGGGGGGGAAGAAGGATGGGGAGAAGAAAAACCGACTAAGTAGCAAAAGACTAGCTACACCTTTGTGTATTTCCTTGCCTAATAAAAGCCATTCAGTAAACATTTGGTTTTCTATTAACAAGTAAAGGAAAAATAGTTATTAATTTCATCTAAAAGATTGAATATGCTATTTTAATCATGTGGGCAGCTGTAAATAGGTCTGTTGATGGTGTTGGAGGCTGGCAAGTCTCTCTTGAAGTAGATACAGTTATCTGTGTACTTTTTATGAGGGGGCTGCACACACGTGTGCACACTTCCTCCAGAAGTCCTAAGGGAATAGGACAATATTTGGGGTTAGAAGTTGTTATTAATATTTATTTAGTTCCTTCATAAATACAGACTGATACATTCACTCTTAGTTTATAACTGTGGAAATTGAGCCAGATGGGTGTAGTAGCTTGAGCCTTTAATTCTAGCACTCAGGAGGCAGAGGGAGGTGGATCTTGGTGAGTTTGAGGACAGCCTAATCTATACAGTTCCAGCACAGCCAGAGCTGTAAGACTCTGTCTCAAAAATAAACAGAAAAATGTTATTTCTAATTTTGTTCATTTTGGAAGCCATTTTGATCAATCCCCCCTCCCCCCCAATTTGGAAGTTTGAAGGGCTTTTTTTGGTTTTGGTTTGGTTTCACTTTTAATTCTTAGGCACTGTAATTGACAGGAAGTTACATTCCCCAACTCTAATATGTTCAGGTTCCATAAATCCAGTGATACACACATCTGTTCCATTAGAAGAGATGGGTACTGTGGCTAGTGTCCCACAAACTCTCTTGAGAAACTTTCAAGCAGACAAGAATAACACTTATAAACCACATATTTCTGTTAGAAAATGTACTTTTATGAACAGTGTACCTTTTAATTTTCAAGCTCATTGAGCCAGTGGTCACTAAGTTCACAAAGGAAGCCAAGTCAAGACATAAGAGGACTTACATATAATAAAAGGAAATGTAGTATCTTTACTTCCTATTTAAGTTCATGGCCAAGGCTCCATATAACAGAAGAGAGGTTAACAAGGAAAAACATTCTTTTGTTTTATAAGAAGACATGGGGACCTTCTAAGGAAATGAAGACTGACAAGTGAGAGAACTTGTGTGTTTTTATGCTCAGATTTGTCACAAAGTAAGACAGTCATGGGGAAATAAGATTGGACAAGGATGTATTCAGATGCTTCCTGCACCTTCAAAGAGAAGGATATTCCTTTTTTTCCTAGAAGGGAGTTCACTTGTAAAATCAGGGACTTAAGAAACTGGGGTCCCAGGGTTTTATGATGTGCTTCAAAGGGAGAGGGTGGAGATAGGATACAGTTTCTAGTTTTTTGGGGTCTCAAGAGACAGTGTTTGGGGTAATATGTCCTGAACCTTGTCAGTAACTAGCACTTGGCTGCTGCTATTATTATTATTATTATTATTATTATTATTATTATTATTATTATTA